GTCTTGGAAGGCTACCCAAGCATCCATGGCTCAGATAAAGATAGGATCAAAACCCAGCAAGAGAGCTCCAAAACTAGTAGAAACATAACACTGCTGGTGTTCGGAGTAAAGGCTCTGGAGATGGAGGTCTGTTATACAATGGGACACAGATCAGTGTGGGATGTGTGTGGAGGTCTGAAGTGATTATAAACATGTATTTACAAAGCGTTATGAGCCCAGCATATGCTGATGAAAGAGAGTGTAAAAAATGGAAATATACTTGAGTGGAGGCAACTTTGGGCCGTTTGTTTGCGTTCAGGCTGAATTCCTCTCTGGCTTTGCTTCTAGCCCCTCATTATCACAGATCCCCAACAGCTGAGGGATCTCTCAGAGAATAATATTAAGGCAGCCAAAGTGCAGGAAAAAAACACACGTACATTAGAGAGATCTCTTGGGCACAGCTTCTTCTAAACAAGGGCTGTATGAAATTACAGCTCAAATGGAGGGGTTTTGATAGCGTTTCCCGTTTCTCTTCAGGACTTTCTTGGAAAATTGCTTAAACAGGGTCTAGAGGAAGCCAAGGCTGGACTGTGCCGTGGTGCCATTGTCAAGGAGAGCCTCCACACGAGCTGTTAGCGATGGCCGTGGACCGTTGTTTGCTTTTCTTTGGAGGCCACACAAAACCCTGCCTGCGCTTTGCCAGATGGCCTGTGCTTTACAGGGGCTACACCCAACCATGGGGGTCCCACCACCACCAACCCCGGCTCCGACTGTGCCGAGTCTGGGTTGTCACACCTCCTTGATGCTGGTTTGGATGAAGAAAGCCAAGGCAGCTACTGCTGGTGCTCAACCTGCAACTGAAGGAGCGCTATTTACTGCCTTATTTTGCAGCTCAGACTCCACATCCTGGTCCTGCTGCACAGACAACAACAACAGCGAGAAGTCTCAGTGTGCCCCAGCACTCCCGGGGCAAATTGAGACCTTGCAGTGTGGCTGTAGCCATATGTTCCTTATATTTAAAGAAAATACCAACTTCTGTCCCTGTGAGCCTGACATTTCCTACGCTTCTTTAACCACTTTGGTCTCTCTGCTCACAGCAAGTTAACAGGATACCGTGTTTTTGCCAAGATATTTTGCTAAATAAATGGAACCACAGGCAGTCTCCACAAGCCAGCTGAGCAGTGCCACATGAGCTCAACTGGCAGGAGAAAAGAGTTTCATTTAAAATGAGCTTTAATTCAGCAAAACATCAACACTTGTTTACCACAGCCCATAAAACTCATGTGACAAAATACCTCCAGCGGATTAGCAGCCTGCTTCCTCCAGGAACGTACAAGCAGAGCAAACCAAGCCCGTGCATGTCGCGGCAGCAGCGCGCTCGGCAGCTGGTGGCTCCTTGTTGGAACCAGCATGTGCTGCACGGCTGCCCGGTGGCAGCAGCAGCCGTGACGCCCTCACCCTTCCCACTAGACACTGCTCCTCGGGGAATTTCCTGCAGGAAAGGGTCCCTCTTTGCCCGCAGGTCTCTATAGGACACCACACCCCAGGTGCTGCAGACACCAAAAGGGGGCTTGGATGCACATGCGGGACTCTGCCTGCTGGCACCGGGAGGGTGACAAAATACTCCAGCTGTCCTGCTGTTTCCTCTTTCCAAACACCACCTTGCCGCAGCCAAGGATGCTGCTGGACCTGCTTAAAGCCTCAGCCAGGACCTTCTTCATGAGCCTGGTCGACAGAAGAGAGAAGGGCTCCACAAAAGCCATGTTTGACAGCAGAGAGGTGCCTGTAGCACCAGTGTTTCCCCTTCACGCCCAGGGATCCCACACTTTGCAAGCACTGCCAGGACAGTGCCCATGGATTTGGCCCTGACCAAGAGCCACCAGCCCTCACTGGCCACGTCAGCCGTGCGCCCTGAAGCTCCCACATTTCCTTTCCCATCTGGAGGAAGAGCTTCCAGGCATGGCCAGGCCCTTGCTGCCCCTGGGACATATGGAGGAAGCTGTGCTTGAAAAGTGCATCCACTGAGAGCCCAGGGCAAGGACGCACCAAGGCCCCCAAACTGTTTCCCTCCCTGCAGGCGCCTGGATTGGGCTCTGCAGTTCCCCTCTGGATGCCCCTGCTTTCTTCTATGAACTCCAAGTGCCCTCTGCTCATGGGAAGAAAACAGGAACTGGAGAGACTTGCACCTTTGGCGTGATAGGTATTTCTAGTGCTATCAGAAAAGAGAGAAAAAAAAAAAGAAAAACAAAGGAAAAAAAAAAAGAAAAACCTAACTTTTCTTCTCGTGGATCCTCAAGGTTTTGTGTGCGCTCCTGAGGAGCCAGGAGGACACCCGCGACACTCGTGCCCTCCCCTGCCCGGTGAGTGCAGCACAGACGAGCACAGAGGGCAGCGACGGCAGCAGCCGGGAGCAGCTTCCCGGGCTACTGAGCTTGCAGCAGAGGCCAAACGGGCGCCAGCGAGCGCTGCTTCGCACGCACAGGGGGGATGCAACCGCTTGGCCGCGAGCCTGCCAGCCCCGGAGAGGAGAGGAGAGGAGAGGAGAGGGCGCAAGATTCCGAGCAGGGCTTTCCGAGCACAATGTCTGGACTTCCCTCCCAGGAGATCAAACCAAAACGAGGGGTGTGTTTGACCTGTGGTAAGACGGAAACAAAGCGTTTCCCAAACAAATAACCACATTGCAAGCTGACAATGTCCATTATTACAAAAGACCATTTTATTTAACGTTCCTCCGGGCGCACTATATTGCAAAGTAACACTAGGCAGGTCTACCTTCATATTAAGAGTCTTGCTACAGAATTAGGATTCTTTCCATGGAACTGAGATGTTTGTCCGTTTGGTCAAATTTCAAAGCTTTTTCCTTGGCACTTGCATGGGACTCGTCGCTGTTTAAACACATGCAGTAGTGGACGTGCCAGAAATGTGATATGAGACTTGGAGCAGGCGCTTTGCAGTTAGGTCTTTTGAGAGCTGTTGGGCTGGCCAGATGCAAGAGGTCAACAGAAACATCCACCCTGATTTTGGCAGAGGTGGAGATGCACATCTCCAGATTTTGATCACAAAGTAGATTTGCTTTTCGGATCTAATGCACTATTACGGTCATCTTCTTAACTTTAATGCTCTCCTTGTCATCTTTGCTCCCGTTACCAAGGAAGTTCTGACCTATTTTGGAGTAGTAAGCCTTGCTTATATTCAGGAATTACACTGGTTGTTGGTACCTGATTAACACAACAATTACATAAACTCATAGGAACCGTGCCTGAAGTGTTTTCCACAAAGTCCATCCTCTCTAAGTCAAATATTACAGTTCACAGAGAAATCCTCTAGTAGTACGTGTTGCATGTGAATACACATATGAGTGGTAAATGAATCACTGAGTAAATATGGCACTTTTACATATTTTCCTGGATACCATACAGAATTAGGAAACGCTCTTTCCTTAGCTGACGCATTTCTAAAATACAGTCACCCCATTTGGAAAACACACCCCACAGAGCAGACAGTAAGGAGTTTAGAAAAGTCAGCAGTGCAGCTACCTGAGTTTGTTCCCTAAGCTCGAATGGGTGACAGTCGCTTGGTGCTTGGTCATTCGCCGGGCGCCTGAGGGCTGCCTAGCACAGGGGCCGTGCCGCTCAGCCCCGCCGGCGTCCCGAGGGCTCGGCCATCCCGGCAAGCGGCTCTGGGGCTCGGGGACAGGTCACCCCAATGCCTCCGTGCCCTGAGCCCCAAGCCAGGCAGAGCCCAGCAGAAAACCAGGCCTTTATGGCTTAGCTTTCTCCTGGCTTAAGAGATTCATTTGCCTTGTGGAGGGATGGCATGAGCGCCAGCCTGGTAAAGGCAGAAGAGAAGTGGCCAGCACGGAGGGCCAGGACTGGGCATCCAAGGAGGAGGAGGAGGAAGGGAGGAAACTGCCCTTCCTCAGCGCAGCTCGCGGGGAGACTTACTCAGCAGCCTGTGGGAGATGCAGGCGGCAGGAGAGCGCTCCGAGTGTAAAAGCTGAGGGGGGATCAAGACACCAGCACAAGGCACTTGGTGCTCGTGCAACGCTGCCCCACGAGGGGCTGCGCTGGGGCCAAGTCGCGCCCCCACGGGACGGGCTCCTAAAACTGGCCGAGCCCAAACCTGCGTCCGCAGGCACCGGGCGCGCGTCCTTCCTGCCGAGGAGACAGACCACGAACTACACGTGAGACGCTGGACACAGAATAAATTATGGATTCAAAACGCTACATCTACGGAATATAAAGGTTTTTCTTTTAAAACTTTAAATGTAATCCCGTATTTCAAATCTAAATAAGATAACTATACAGCTCCACCAATTACTTGGACATTTTAAACAGTTTACATTCATCAGGAACAACAGCACTTTGGTTTACATAATTAGGTTAATATGAGCAATGAAACATTTTTCTCCCTCACATTACATCAAAGTGAAGTACATTTAGGATATATATACTGCCAAGCTGCTCCAGTAAGTGCATTCAACATATGAATAAAGAGTAGTTCTTGCAATAGCCACCTCCGTTGTAGGTCTTTTACAGAACTAAATCAAACCACCTTTGAAAAGCTTGCATTGATTCCTTCATGCCTGACCCATTTTTGACTGATCATATGGATCTTCTCCAGAACAAAACCAAGCCCAAAATATAAGTCTAACTTTGGTCCTCTGGCAAACCCGTATACCAAACCACCGAGGCAAAACCCGCTTCCTTTGCCTCCTACCTTCCTAAGCCAGACTCTAAAAGCAACAAGATGCTTTTGTAGCAAGCTCAGGAACTCCGATTAACTGTAGCTCAAGACACGCAACAGCAATTAGAGAACATTTAAAAGCAACCAACCTGACAATCATCAAACAATTATTTTACATAACTTAAACAATCAGCAGCTCGATCTCTGCTATTTATAAAAAGCATTATCTCCTGCAGAAAGAAGTACTTATTTCTAGCATCTTTGTAAAGCACTGATCCAGCACCCGTGTTTGACTCAGATATGTGCTATATGTTGGATAGGATGAAGAGATCTTCTCCCAGCAAAATAATTTACTATCACATAGTTATTCATGATAAGCTTAAATCAGCTTGCGAGCAGCACACATATTACCATGGACTACACCTGCTAAACTTTCACAAAAGAGAGCAAGTGGCTGGATAAATAAAAAAATGAATGTCACTTCAGAGAATAAAATTCTAGCCTGATACTTAATCATTAAGGAGTTTTACAGATGATTACATTATTTAAAAAAGCAGGCTTCCCGCTGTATGAGTTCCGATTTAATTATTAGCTGGGAGATGAAAACAGAGCCTTCATCACTGTCCTCTGGTAGGCTGAGATTTTGAGAAGCTAATGTATTCATTTAATCTCTTTTCTGTAAGTCTGCAAATGTTCCTGTGCTGAGCTTGATAATCTGATAACAAAGCTCAATTAAGGAGCATATTAACCACTAAAAATTGTGTTCATTTCCATGTCAGAAGCTTTACAAACTAAACACGATTGCAGTTTTTCCGAGTGCTGTTGCTGCAAGGTGCCAAACATCCTTGGGCCAGGGGACCGAGGGGACCAGGGCAGCTGCGTGAAAGGAGCTCAGCCCAGACCTGGTCCTGCTGGATGCTGGACACCTGGAGCTGGAGACCAGAGGCCGGGGGGATTCAGCCTCTGCAGGACCACCCTTCCAAGACCACATCCTAAGGGAGCAACAAGAACCAGGAAGACCTAGTACACCTAGTACAATTACGCAACCCAAAGCACACGGCTTAAACACGGTTCCCTGTGGGGATTAGTGAAAGGAAAAAAAAAATGCAGATAAAAACACTCGCTTTTGTCAGTAAAAATTAAGTTACACCCTCGTTTTCAGGGCAAAATAAACTTAAAAATATCTTAAAACAGTGAAAAAATACAAGAAAATTTTATTTAAAAATATATGTACTCCTTACTCCAAACTTGTTTGTACAGACAGGATTTGTTTGAAAAAGGAAAAGAAATAAACATAGCACTAAATGCATATTCAGAGTATGCACTTCCTATAGCCTATTTGGTAGAAGTGTGTTTCTGTAAAACCGAGCGAGAGGAAGTTAGTTATTCAGCTTTCATGTGTTCCCTGACATCGGAAGGCAACGTTTCAAACAAGGTGTCCTCTACAATGAAACCAGTTCGCTTCAGAGCTCTACATTCACCAAGTTCAGCTGGGAGAATTTCGAAGTGGTTGCCTTTAATATCCAAGTAGGAAAGAAATACCAAATTACCAATTTTGGGGGAAAGGACCGACAAGCTGTTTTTGCCAATTTTCAGAGTCTTAAGCTTTTTGCAAAAGTAGAGTTCATCTGGCACACTCTCCACTTTGTTACAAGTGATGGAAAAATATTGTAAACTTTGCAGAACTCCTATTTCTGGTGGGATAAAGCGAATGTCATTGTAAGACAAATCCAAGTATCTGATTTTGTTGCATAGGAAGAGGTGGGATGGAAGAACCTCTATTTTATTATGGCTGAAGGAGAGGCGTTCTAGGCTGGTGAGCTTCTTTATATGCTCAGGGATGTATGTGATGCTGTTGTACCACAGCTTGAGGATTGTCAGTTTTCTCAGATGCTGGAAACTTACTATTTCTTCAATTGATTTGAGGTTGTTCTCCTTTAAATCCAGTTCCTGAAGACTGAGAAGGCTGAAGACCGCATGAGGAATGCGTTCCAAATCGCAGTGAACCAATTCTAGCTCGGTCAGGTTGACCATCTTCTTCAGGTTGTTGAGCATGACCAGCTTAGTGCCATCATTATGGACGCACAGTTTTTGCAGGTGACTTGAGACATCAACTGCAGACTGTGGGATTTTGGACAGATTACTTTTAATGTAAAGAATTTTAAGGCTTTTAAGTTCCCGAAAAGACTCCAGTGTAATGTTTTTGGAGATATCATGACTTAGTGAGCCAATTAAATAGAGCTCCTCCAAATTCCTGAGGCCGTACATCCAGTGTGGCAGTTCTCTGATGTCATCAAACTTGACGCTTAAGATCTTGAGATTCTCTTTCAGAAAGGCCAACGCGGCGCTGTGGATCTTCACAGAGCACTGGTGCAAAGACAGCTCTTGGAGATTGTCCAGCTGTGCAATGGTTGCCGGTATCATCACATTATTAATTATTTCAAGTTTTAAAGACTGCAGCTCAGTAATTTCAAAAACTGTGTCTGGAAGTCCAGAGAGCATGAAAAGCTGGAGCTCCAAATGGCTGTGGGAGTTCGTCTGTAGCCGTTGCCTCAATTTATCTGCAGTCCACTCGTTGTTTAAGTTCAGCTGTTTCAGCTTATTTTCACTGACTTCAGACAGAAAGACAGCGAATCTCTTGGAATAGAGAGGATCATACTGATCTATCATATGAAGCATAAAAGCAAAGTCATTCTTGACATCTGGGATATCATCAATTCCTGTCTCTTGTCGAACGTATTCGAAAGAATATTCTTTCAGCGAGCGATAGAACAACCAGTATAAAGTGTACAGGCATGTGAGGCCGTAGATGCTTACAAAGCACAGGTAGCAGTAGGAAAGTTTAGAGAACAGATGTGCCATTGTGTGATTACAGCAAAAATTCTTATATCCTGTCATGTCTTCAATATCAACATTACAGACCACTGTAAAATTGACTTCTGAGACCAGTGCTGTGTTGTAAGCAATAATGATAAGGAATTTAATTACCTTCAGTACAGTCTGGCGAACATACATAACATAGAGTATATCACCTTCCTCGACATGCAGTCTGAATTTCTTTACTTTTTCGAACAGTGCTTTGGCCTGTTCACCTTCTTTCTTATCTAGTGCTCCCGGTGTCCCCTTATCCACAACCAGCTTCTCAGGGATTGATTTTAAAGACTGGGTCTTGACCAAGGTGCCTTCAGCGCTTGGCTGGATAGTGTTTGACTTGCTTACATTATTCTTCCTGTTATCTTTCTCTTCAGAGTCCTCCCCTGACACCTCCGATAAGGCTCTTGTTGTCCAGGGAGAGTCAAAGCATTTCCCAAGTATCGAGATGAAATGCTCGATTTTGGAGCTCGATCCAGGGAACTTGAACCAGAAGTTACTACACAGCATGAAGACCAGTGTGTGTATAAGGACAAGGTAAGGGAAGTACTTGGCATACCAGTGCAGGGCACGCTCGTAGCACACCTGATTGATAAAGCTGTACTGCTGCAGGTCCAGATCGGTCTTCAGTCCTTTCATTTCAACAGTAGCCGGAGCAGTGGATGGCTTGGGAGGGAGCGGGGTTGTGTCTGGGATTGTGTGAAACACATTGGAGCTGTTAGATTGGTTCTGGCAAGGCTGTATTCGCTTTGGAAGGCATATTATCTTGTCTTGCATGACCTGAAACACACAAAAGATATCCTGTCAGATGACGTACAAGCAGCGGCAGCACTGCCAGGAAGCAGCTCTCCTTGGAGCTCCTCCTCGGGCAGGCATTCCTCCTGGCAGCTCCGTGCCGGGCCCTGCTTTGTGCTCTTATTACATTGTCATTAGACCCGAAGCGACGCTTGTTCTGTACGCCAAGAACCAGGTCACCCCCTTCCATCTATGGTTAGCTTTCCATAATTTGAATAAGAAGGCATTGCAACAATCCAGAGAAAAGGGAAAGTGTGGGTCATGCCTCCCGACAGGACACGGGGAAGCTTTGGCCTTGCTCTCCCCAGGGACGGCGCATTCTGGTGCACGTATTTAGCCTGACCAAACGCAACCAAGAGCAGCACTGCTGCATTCGTGTGGCTTCTGTGCAAGCTGTGAGGTCTGGCAGACACAGAGCAGCTCACAGAGAGTCAGGATGGGGCTATCGGGGCCCGTGCCATTGCCAGTATGCAGTCTCAGTGAGGATCTCTACGGAAAATGGAGAGTTGAAGGCTTTTCTCTGTGTGCATGCACAGACTTAATTTCTAGTCAGTTTCTCGTATATATAAAACCGGAAGAGTTGGTCCTCATTCCAAACACCTGTGAAATATAATATAGCTCCATCCTCAGTCCATCTCTAATGCAAAACCGAGCAACTTTCCTAATTCGGGCCAGCCTCCCACGTCAGCAACCTCAGGTCGCAGCGCCTTTGGGCGCCAGTCGCCTTCAGCCTAGCTCGGGGTAACAGGTTGAGTCAGTGCCAGCCTCTTCGTGGGATGGAATTCAAAATATTAAAAATTAATCCATGTGATAAACCAGGGAGCTCTGCTGTTTGCCTGAATGAGTAACTAGGATTAGTCCAAACTAAGAATGTGCCTTTAGCTGTTATGGGGATGTATCCTTTGGCATCACGGTTGCTGAGAGCCCTCGATAGAGGTGGGCAAGGACAGCCACCAAACACCCATTTCCCGTCGGGTGCAGGGAGATGCTGAGCTGGGACCACACAAGTTTTTAACAGTGTCAGTGCCACGGCTGGGGCCACTTCAAAAACATCTTGCCTGTAAATGCTATTGTTGTCAAAGCGGGTAACAGAGCTATTCTGTTATATTTATACACTGGATCACGTCTTTGCTAGTAAATTGGAATTAAAAAATTCCCTGTGTTATTTGCAGTGCTTCCAAACACTATTTTCCAGTGTGCTTCATCCAATCAAGCAGATAAATTTAAAACTGACAGATATTCTACTTTATGTGCTTAAGCAAACACTTGGCTACTAAAGTAGAATAAATCCTTGTACAGAGAAATTTTTAAACACAGACATCATACTTTCCAAAAGATATTTGAAAAGACAACACAGGCAAAACTACAGTTGATTTCACATAAAAACTGGGGCATGGTATGTGAAAACCTTGGGCCATGTAAGGGAACAAATCCTGCTGAAATCAGAGTTCTGTCAATGTGGCCTTTTTGCTCCGTTTCTGAGTCATACCAAAAAACAGGCATCCTCATTTGAAATAGCACTCTAGCCTCCTACTTTTGTAGAATCCATTCCAAACAGCAATTTCCATTTTTTTTTTAGTTTTTGGTTCTTTAGCACAATGTAGCTAACAGGCAGTGACGATAACATCAGTCGTGTACGTGGGAGCACCCGCAGAAGGCGGTGCCTGGGAACAGAGGAGGCATCGTACTGGTTCTGGCAGTGTTAACTAAATCTCTATATTCCTTTCAAATCTATTTGAAGCATAAAGAAAAAAAAGACTACTAAAAAATACAAATGTTAAACCAACAAGAACAAAGAAGAAGGTAAGAAATGGGACTTTTAGTGGATGATGTTTTGTTATGTCAGACTGTGGTGAAAAGAGGCATCCAGACACAGGCTTTTCTCATGATAACCAAAGGCAATTGCCAAACCAACAGCTCTGGCACCGCTCCACGGACTCCAGCGCAGAGACACTGATTTACAGCCACTAGCAGCCTGGCCTGTGTTATTTCACGTTTCTGCCCAAACGGCTGGTGATTCTGGGCGCAGGCAATTTTCGCGTTGTTCCTGGCAGACCCAGGACCCCCTCCCAGGGCCCTCTCCTGCCCCCGCGCTCTCGGCAGACCCCGGCCGTGCACTGCTTACCTGCAAGGTGCACCCGAACACGCCGATCATCAGCATGGCGACGGAGAGGTAGTCGGTGAACACGTCCCACCAGGGCTTCAGCACCCGAAAGGCTGGCTGCTGCTCCGAGAACTGCCGGAACTCGGTCACGGGAATCATCTTCCTGCAAGACAGGCACCGGAGCACTGAGCCCTGTTGTCCTGTCCCATCCCATCCCATCCCATCCCAGCTCCCAGGCTCTTCCAGCCACCCTTCATTCGCTTACATTTTCTCTGTGGTTTCAGGGATGCTTTGGACAATCCCTGTGCATTCCCACCACGGCTTTAAACCTCCTGTGCTTGGGGCACGAGCCTCCGAAGCACCTTAGCTAAGTGAAACTGCAGCAGCAGGGGCGGACCGAGGGCTGTGCGCTCACCTCCGCGCCGGGCCTTACATCACCGCTGCCCCCGCGGACTCGGCTGCGTGTACAGGCACAGAAACCAGCTCAGAGCCCACAGCACCTTGTGCAACTCAATCCCAACATCCAAACAACGCAGAAACTCCCCAGCAGGTTACGATGGCAGGATAAAGACACATGGGAAGGCAACTAAAACTGTCCCAAAGGATGAAACCCGTCCCAAAGGATGAAACCCGTCTTTTGTGAGCATGGCAAGTGCCCTGGCTCCTGCTGCTTGGCCGGGGCGCGGAGGCTCTCAGACGTGTGGGACGATGGTACGTGGTGCTCAAGCAAACTGCACCCGCTCCGTGTACACTGATCTGCCCCTCAGTGACACGGGAGCTCCACAGAGCGCGGCTGGGAGCTGCTCCCTCACGCCTCACCTCTCTTCTTGAATTCCCACTGGAATAACCCCCCAGACCCGGGGCATTCGAGGAGCCCGCGCAGCCTTGTGCTCGCCCTGGCACCGGCGCAGACCCTCGCAAGGCCGCGCGGGGCTGGCGTGCTGCCCGCTCCCCCCGGCTCCTGCGAACAACAGCAGCCAGCGCCGAGGAACGGCCTGAACCGAGCTCTCTGTGATCCCTGGGATGTTTCACGGCCGCGGAGACAGCGGCATCGCCCTCCTTCTCTCCATTCGCAGACAGAGCGCGGCAGGAGCTGCGCGCGAGCTCTGCAGGCCTCGCAGCCGCGCGGGGAACGCTCCGCAGGGCAGGGCTGCCCCGTGTCCAGGGCCCTCCGTGTATCACAGGTCTGCTCGCTCCTCCTGAGCACGTGCAGGGAACAAGAGGGAGGCAGAAAGCTCCTGGTACCACAGACGGGCCGCGCTGCTCCCCGCTGGAGCCGGCAGCCACGGCACCCTGCGCCGGGAGCCGCAGCACAGGACACCCGCTCACGGGAGGCCTCTCAGCCCTGACTGAAAATCACGCTCTGTAAAACCCTTAAGATACAGCGTTACTGAGTGATGGTGGTGTTGCTGAGTGTGGTGATGGCAAACAAAGGGGCAGCGCCTGCCTAACAACAGAGTGCTCAAGAAGCAGGGACTCTCTTTAACTGCAAGTGTGGTAAATGTCCCCGCTATGAATTTCAGTTCACCAGCACTCAAAATGCTGTTTACTGGCATGGGACACGGTCTGAGCATGGGACATGTGCAGTCTGACTGACTAAATATTACTCAAACCCACTTTAAGGACTTCTTGAATTCTAAATATTGAACTAATTTTTTCAATTAAAATCAGAATGTTTTCTTTTCTTTTTCCTCTCTCTTATGTTTTTAACAATCCCTAGAGAAAACAAAATTGTATATGAGATAGATCATCTAGTTCCCTGCTACCAGGCGGAGTCCCAGAAGGAGCTCACGTTAAGAGAAGTTGTACTGGCTGCAGAAAAGAGCTGAGGGTGCCAAACTGGAAAAGGAGGGGAGAAACTACCAGAGATTTTTTATTATTAATTTAAAGTTTCTAGGAAAGGCAGAAGAGTAGATGGGTGAAGACCAGGACACAATAACAAGAGGGAATCCTGGGCCCAGGAGCACGGAGGATGTGCGATGAGCAGCCAGCTCCCCCCGCGGAGGAAAGGGAGAGGCAAATATAGCATCCTGAAGGAACGTGCAAAGACTTGCAGATAATAAACAAACAGATATAGCCCCCGCTGGAAATAGAGACGTGGAAGAGAACCAAACAAAACATTCAGGTCCAAACTCTCCGCTGATGTAAACAGGCACCGTTTCCAGCTAAACTTCAGACACTCGCTCCAGCAGGAGCACTGACCGCAGCAGGCAGCCAATGCATAGGCAATTGGGAGCAGGGCACAGTGCCTTAATGGGACCTCCGAGGGCTAAGGGGAATAAATAGAGCTGAGGGGGGCAGAAAAGTCCTGGGAACAAACGCGACCCGTTAATAAACGGGGGCGATGAAGCTCGAGGTCGCCTGGGGCGGCACGGGAGGAAGGAGCAATGGGGGGCACGCGCCAGGGGAGCCCCCGGCCGCACGTTCTGCGGATGGGGCAGTTTCCTTGCTGCTGCAAGGAAAGGGCGCATTAACACCCACAGGTGCCTCCAACACGGCCCCGAATACAAGAGCTGCTGGCACCTAGAGCTGCCCAGCTCTGCACGCAGCCATCGCTAGGGACCTGCTGCTATTTTTACGCAATTCTCACAAAGCAACTGAATTCCCTCTCAGCAGCGGGGCTGTGACCGAATGCACACGGGCTCCGGCCGTGCTGGCGAGCACTAGAGTCCTGCACGTGGTCCTGTGCACGCTCCAGCCTGGCCCCGCACGGCTCCCGGGGCCTTCGGGACCAGGAGAGACCACGGAGCGAAACACAAGGAAGCCAACAGCGAGCCCAGCTCGGGGAGCAGAGGAAGAGCAGCCCTGCACCACAGCTCACCAGCGGGAGGCTGCTGGGGTGTCTTGCCGGCCCGCTGGGATCGAGCCCCTCTTGCCCACGGCTGCCCCGGAGGGGAGCGCTCCGCCTGCCAAAGCAGAGGCCTGGGAAAGTGCTGGGCTCAGCAAAACCCACTGCCCTTGCTGCTTGCAACATGTTGCATGCGCTCGGATAAATTATGAAAGGCCTTTGGGGACTTGTGCCGCAAGCAGGTCCCTGGGCTAGTTCCCATGCATGATTTACAGCCTATTCATCTTCATTAGCGCGGAGCGGGGCCGTCACTAGCAGGGGCGGCCGCAGCGCCGGGAGGCGGGAGCGGGGCCCTGTGCCCGGAGCAGCGCCCCCGGGCCCCGCTCGGCAGGGCTCCCGGTGCCCGTTCCCAAGGGTACTGCGGCCACCCCCACCGGGAGCTGAAGCACTTTCCGGCCCTGTCTCCCTGCAAAATGTTCTAAAACTAGAATTTAACCAAAAATTGCTCAAATCTTCTCTAAGAATGAGCTTAGCACAACACACATTGGACTATACCTAGCATAAAACTTGCAGTCTTTTTACTTGAAGTTTTCCAGGTGCCCGTGCACTGGAGCACGATGCCACATTACCCTGCGTATCAGGGATGCACTTTGTTGTGCTGGCACCAGCTGCCTCCTCTATATTTTCCTCCTGGAAATCGTGGTTGATGCAGCCCCTGGAAGGGCCGACCCCGGAGCTGAGCCTGGCACCACGAGCATGGGAAAGGCCCGGCCTTGCTTAAGCACTTTGCCAGGCTGGACACAAAGCAGACGCACGGGCACAAAGTTTGGAAAACAGATTAGACTAAAGGGGAAATACTGTGATAAGGGCTGTAATTAGCAACCCTAATTCCCAAGAGTTCAAAGATAAACCCTTATCCGAGATCCTACAGTGAAAAAGCAGCCAAACTACCCCAAAGTTCAGTTCTGGTAATCATCTTGCTATACATTTGCAAAAAATGTATTTGCATATACCTGAGTGTGTGTATATATATATATTTTTTTCCCCCCATAATGTCCAGCCCTGGGTCAGTGTAGGCCTGGCCAGTTCTCATGTACCATACAGCGACTACCCCTATGTAACTTCACTCTGTACTTGAGGTATTTAAGGATAACAGTCCTCCCAGGGAGGCTTTGTTTACTGGTGTTCCCAGTGAAAAAATCCTGTTGAAAGCTGCATTGAAAACCGACTACTTGATAATATGGCAAAAAAGTATCACTCATCGCCAGCTTTCCCAAATGCATTGGGATACTTTTAGCTCTGTTGATTATAACAGAGGTTTTCAGAGCAAAAAAAAAAAAGATCAGAATTTGGAAGTTAGAAATACAAACAAATGATGCTCTTGCTCCAATATAAATCCCACATTAAAAGAGCTGGAAAGCCTTTAAAAGTCATCTAAAAAACAACCCGTTCACATCCAAACAATTATTTTTAAAAGCCCGTGTGTTTACTGCGTTTTCAAACAAACCACTTGAAATGCAGCCTGCCGGGGCTGGGGCCGGCCAGGAAACGGGGCCCCGGGGCGGCGCAGGGCGCGCGCGAGCGCTGCCGGCCCCGCTGCCCCGCGCGGGCACGGCCGCCCGCCCAGCGCCGCGGCAGGAGGAGCAGGGCTGCTAGATGGGTTATGTGGTACTATAACGCATCTACCACCTGGTACTTTAACACATTTACCACTTGGTACTGTCATACATTTTGCAAGCTCTCTGAAAATGACAGAGTCTGCGCTAAGCGCGGGTTAAAACTTGCCCTGCGCAGCCCGCTGGCAATAATCTGATTTGATACCACACGCAACAGAAGCTATCTGGGTCAGTTCATGGCAGGCTGCGTTCTGGGGAATACATAAAAACACGGCCAGGCGAAGCAAGGAATCATTCCAAATCATTCCCGGGATTTTGGTGGTCCTATCAGGCTCATCCCGCTCAACGCTGCCCGTGTCCCCGGGGCACCAGGACAGGCCCCTGGTGCCCTGCGAGCACCAAGTCCCGAGCGCAGCCCTCACACGGGGCACACGGAGCAAGAGGCTTCAATAGCTGCCTTCTAAAATATACCTTGCAGTCCCCGGCTGTGCGGACAGCAAATGCCGCTTTGGCACTGGGAAGCGAGACAAACCCCTCGCTGTTGGCTTTAATGGAGCCACAGTGCATTTTCATGTATTACACACCAAAAATACTTCCCATCGTCAGCAGCTCTTTGACTTCTACTTGGCTGGACTGAAGACAAGAAAATGTTCAGGGCCGGACGCTGCCAGATAAAATCTCAGTGAAATCAATGGGAGTTCTTTCTGCACCAAGTGCATGAGGCTGTATGCAGGTTGGGCTTTGCTTCGTTGTCT